CTTCAGGATAGCGTGAACAATAAAGCTCACTAAAATACTTATTTGCTGATGCAGTGATAACGATACATACCTAAAAATATAACATGATAAATACAAAAAATGTAGATTTGGGTTTTTATTATCTTCCCCTAATAAGCTAGGCAAGTAATTTGCAAATACTTTAAGAAACAATTGATCTCTCAGTTGTAAGCCTTTCTTACAATGGAATGGTATCAGCATGACAAAAGTACATTCTGCCAGCCTATACATCCCAGTGTTTGAAGTTCTACTTCATAAAAGCAGGATAGGATATTGATACATTTGTGTCTTAGGAATTATTCCTATCTTTTTTATTTTAATTCCCTGGGCTTAAACCTATGACAGCTCAAAATTCAGCTACAGAAGCCCTTTTAATGATTAGTCTAATGCACTGTGTTATAAAGATTTTTAAAACTCAGTAAGTACTAACTCAAGCTCTCTTTTTTTCCTGGTTACTGGAGCCCATCTTGACATCTAAGCTGGAAATGAATGATCTTTCAACAACACTCCAGGGATTTTGCTAAGGTCATATTCAATCATTCATTAGGCTTCTTACCCTTCCCTTTTCAGAGTTCCATTGTAGAGCTGGTTTTATTCAGCATTTATGTAGCCTGTGGGCTTGAGTATTTGTCCGCTTGATGTTGAGTTTCATTTCTATGCCCCTAACATAGGAATCCATCAATTGACCAAAGAATTTCAAACTATTCTTTTACTTTTCTAACAAATTGCATGGTGTGTATGAAGAATAAATTAGCATTAATTTTCTTCTATTAACTGTTAATAAAACATGCTCATGAGCTCCCTCCCCTTTCTTCTATGGACATCTCTGTTTCCTGCCTCACCAAGAGAAATGATAAGGATTTCCTAATTTTTCTCCCACTATGCAATTGTCTTTCAACCACATATGCTCCTTGCCTCCCACAATCAAGCTCTAGGTCATGGGCAGCCTTCTTCCAGTTAAGTGTACTAGACAAGACTCCTTTCAGAGCCCATCAGTATCCCCTCCACAATTAGCTAAAGAGGTTACTACTGTGGAACACAAGACACTTGGTTTCTTGCTCTCAAAGGAGAGGGCTGTCTCTGGAGCACATATATTCTAGCTCATAGAGCCAAAAACAGGAAATCAAACCCCAGGGCTCTACCCTAGAGACAAACTGTTCGCATTTGTACAGATTCTCATTGTAGGCCACCAGACAGAGAGACAGACACAAACACACACCCACACACAAATATACAAAATAAAATTACTTACAAGAACATGAATTAAAGTCTATTAACATAGGCAGGGATACTCTATTTCTCTGAACACCAATTTGAAGAAAATTATTTCAAGGCCATATGAAACTTAATTACTAATGTTTGGTCCTTAAAATTAAGGTTTCTATTATATTCTGGATAAATGTGAATTGAGATTAACATACAGTACCACAGAAATTTAAAAATAAGTCAATTGAAGCACATTATTCATAAAATGATTAAAAGTCTTTTGTATATGTTTAGTTCCCTCATTCCCTCAAAACAAACAAGATTGCATATCACCAATGAAGAAGAAAGGCAAAATCGTTGCTACTACAATGAGAAAAAAAAAATCATTCAAGGACAGTTTGTATTTATTTTAAAATGGCTTTAGTGAAGCTGCCAAGAGCAGTGTCAGGTTTGATTCTCATATACATAAATGCCAGTCCCAAAAAGCAACTCTAACTTGTGCACCTGGCTTAAAACAAAATGTTCTGAAAACTTTCTATTTGTTAATTGGTGTAACCAGCCCATTCAGGCCTCAATTCCCTTTGGACTTGCATACGCACTTCCTATACACAGAAGTGGCCTGTTAGGCAGCAATAACATCATAATGAAAAGCAACAATGCTGTGCAGGCTCCACAGAGAAATCTCGTTTGCATTTCAAACAAGTTTCCTCAAAATAAGTGTCTTTTGATTAAGTGAAATTACAATTCCACTTCTTATCCACAGAAAACAGTATTCACTACATAACTTACTACTCCTTTTTATAACTGCATAAATTTCTTTCACAGTTACCCACATATTTGTATGATCTAACAATACTCAGTTTAATAATAATGTATTTACGACTTGTTTCAGTAACTTGGGGACATTTATAGGCCTAGTTTTTAAGCAGTTCGGTATTATTCAAAAATATTAATTTCTTTTTGGCATTTTTAGATCTTGCATTTGTTCCAGTTTTAATCCCTAAGAGGCCTGCTTCCAGCAGGATTAAAGTAATAAGAGACAACTTCCTTTTTCTAACCTTCTCAACAACTTCATGATTAAAAATGTATATATACTAGCCGGGTGCAGTGGCTCTCACCTGTAATCCTAGCACTCTGGGAGGCCGAGGCGGGAGGATTGCTCCAGGTCAGGAGTTCAAAACTAGCCTGAGCAAGAGCGAGACCCGTCTCTACTAAAAATAGAAAGAAATTGATTGGCCAACTAAAAATATATAGAAAAAATTAGCTGGGCACAGTGGTGAATGCCTGTAGTCCCAGCTACTCAGGAGGCTGAGGCAGAAGGATCACTTGAGCCCAGGAATTTGAGGTTGCTGTGAGCTGGGCTGACGCCAAGGCACGCCAGCCTGGGCAACAAAGTTGAGACTCCGTCTCAAAAAAAAAAAAAAAAGAAAAGAAAAAATTAGATTAATAAAAAAAATAATATATATATATACACACACACACACACATACACCTTCACCTTTACAAATGGAACAAACATGTCCTACATAATGCCTCAAAAAGCTTTTCAACAAAGACCCATTCTAAGCTTTCTGTGAATCAAACTCAATGTCCCAGTCTAGTCACACAGAAAGCCTATTTTGTTGGATTGGTTCTTTAAAATAGCATATACTTAACTCAAAATTCTAAGAGTACTTATTTATTACTATTATATTAGGAATCAACGAACATTCATGTGAAAAAAGCAACAAAGACCAGATCTCAATAAATTATAAAACTTTATGTTTCTATAATTTAAGATCCCATGCCTTTATAAAAACAATACAATTTTGTAAAAATTTAAATTGCATATATTTTGAAGTAATTTCTCACCTTTTACAAGTTGAAAATTAAAGCTTTTCCAAAAATGTTATTTTTGTTGAAAGTCCATGTAAATGTCTTCAACTATTTTGTGCAAGGCAGTAGTAATCTTAATGGTTGATCTAAATGAAAGACTCATATTTCCCTACCCACCCCCATTCTCCTATGCCAAAAAAGAAAAAAGACGTAATGCTAGACTTACTCAGTAATGGAATAACACTTGTCAAATAAAAATTGTAAGTTTTGTAACACAACAGGCCCAAAAAAGCTGAAAATAATAAAAAATTATGTAACTTTCTAAAAATTCATATTGACTCCAATACTAAAATATCACCCAAACACAAAGTGTAAGTATTAATATACCTTATCTTTGCAAAAACATTAATAAACTGTTTCTCTTGCTAATTTAGCCCCTAACTAGAACATCTTTGTCCATGTATCCCTGAGGGCTTATATAACTTACACCATCCTTTGTGCCAGTAGAGTGACAAAATTCAGTTCTTTTTTTTTTTGAGACAGAGTCTCACTTGTTGCCTAGGCTAGAGTGAGTGCCGTGGCGTCAGCCTAAACTCCCTGGGCTCAAGCGATCCTCCTGCCTCAGCCTCCCGAGTAGCTGGGACTACAGGCATGCGCCACCATGCCCGGCTAATTTTTTTTTTTTATATATATATTAGTTGGCCAATTAATTTCTTTCTATTTATAGTAGAGACGAGGTCTCGCTCTTGCTCAGGCTGGTTTCGAACTCCTGACCTTGAACAATCCGCCCGTCTCAGCCTCCCAGAGAGCTAGGATTACAGGCGTGAGCCACCGCGCCTGGCCTCAAAATTCAGTTCTTGATAGAGACAAGTCTTTTAACACAAGTAGGGAGATGTAAAAAGTAATACTGGATGACATGAGACTGAGTTGGCTGATTCCTATTTTGACAGTCCAGAGATCAACACTAACAAAGAGCTGCACAGCTCCTAAAAATAACTCCCAACTTCTTTAACTGAATTTTATATGTACCAGTCCTAGTTCCCCAACTGAACTGTAAATACTATAAAGGCAGAGACTTAGCACCTGGGAGGCAGAATACGCCAGAAAAGAATGTGCTTTTAGAGTCACCCAGATAAAAATCCTGCTTCATCCTGTACTAATTGACCTCGTAGAAGTGACTTCACTTCTCTCAGTGTCAGTTTTCTTATATATAGAAACAAGAATAAATAATACATACCTTAAGAAAATACTGAAAGGATTCAATGACTTAATAAGATAATATAACTTAACATAGTGCTAGCATATAACAATATCCCTTAATTCTCTTTCCTTCTATCTGTTTATCACTCACAGTGTGTAGAAGACCATCAGCTGCAAAATACAGGCTCAATAAATCTCTTGATCAATGATACATTTCTCTGATTTTGTTTAATTATACATATAAAAGCCAGAGGTTTTTTTCCCCGGTATTAAATACTTTTAAAAATAACCACCATTCAACCCAAAATTTCTCATTATATTTGATAAATAGTCTAATATAACACTAAGAAAGTTGTTTTGTTTATTATTCTGGTGCTGAAATAGTTTGGTAAAATTTTCATAAATACTAAATTCAATTCAACTTTACCAAGGCACAAAAGTGAAGAATACATGCTTTCTGTAAATTCATTTACTACTTTAAAGTTTAACTGTTCACCAGTTACAGGAAACTTTTTAAGTCAAAAAGAAAAATATTTACATTTCAAATACAAAAGAAAATTAAAAATTATTCTTGGTTGATCTTGAAAACCCAACCACTTACATGTTTATGATTTTTTTAATCAACTCATTATATCTACTAAACATGTGCATCCTGTGTACTTACTAAGCATTTATTTGCACTTGCATTTTCTGTGTCAGCTTAACTTTGTTGTGTAGCCTCTCTAAAAAGCTACCTGAATTTGTCCAAGGAAAAGCCTCACGTTTTTTGGAAAACCAATGCTGCTACACTGTTTCCAGATCTGCCTCCAAAGCTGAACTTGGGTGTTGGTAGCTCTTCAAAAAGTTCAAATCCTGTCAGACAAAATTAAAATACTTGTATTAGAAATTGAATCTCATAGTGAAGGGAAATTTTTATTAACATTGTATTTTTAAACTTTTTATAAAACTATGATTCCAAACTCTAAATTGTGCTGAACTGTATGATTTTTTAATTCTACTGTGTATGCATGGTGCATGTATACACACACCTCAAAACTTAGAATTGAACAAGAACAGACAAAACCAAAAACAAATTGCAGAAAGAGGCTTGCCATCTATCCCTCATTTCTACCACTTCCTCTTTACTACCCCTCCAACTCCTCATCTCTGTTAGCCTACTTCACTACCTAGCTTGTAGGAAGAAGCTAGTATATGTTGAGTTCTTACCATGTGCCAGGCACTGTTCTAAGTGCTTTATATGTAGTAACTCAATTAATTCACACCACACATATAAAAGCATTTAATATAGAAAGGTTAAATAACTTTGGAATAAAAATGAATTTGTAGAAGATAAAAAAGTTCTAGAGATGGATGGTGGTGATGGTTGCAAACAATGTGAATATACTTAATGCCACAGAAGTGTACAATTAAAAATGGTTAAAATGGTCAATTTTATGCTATGTATTTTATCAAAATTAAAAAACAAAATTGTAACAAAGATCAAGACCCAGCCGGGCACAGTCACACACACACCTCTAGTCTCAGCTACTCTAGAGGCTTAAGCAGGAGGATCATTTGAGTCCAGGAGTTCATAAACAGCCTGGATAACAGAGTGAGACCTTGTCTCTCTAAAAAAAGATCAAGACTCAAACTGAACTAATGAAGGGGACTGGGAAGACAAGAAACCAGTAACTTACAAAACAGCACAGTATGATTTTTAAAAAATATATATATCTGGGGCTGGGCGTAGTGGCTCACGCCTGTAATCCTAGCACTCTGGGAGGCCAAGGAGGGCGGATTACTTGAGGTCCGGAGTTCAAAACCAGCTTGAGTGAGACCCCGTCTCTACTAAAAATAGAAAGAAATTAATTGACCGACTAAAAATATATATATACAAAAAAAAAAATTAGCCGGGCATGGTGGCCCATGCCTGTAGCTACTCGGGAGGCTGAGGCAGGAGGATCACTTGAGCCCAGGAGTTTGAGGTTACTGTGAGCTAGGCTGACGCCACAGCGCTCACTCTAGCCTGGGCAACAAAGTGAGACTCTGTCTCAAAAAAAAAATTTATTTGGAATCAAAGTCCTGGGTTAAGTCCAAGCTTTGCCACTTACTAAGTGAGAGATATGCTGGTCAAGTTACTTCTACCAGGATCCTGAGTTCCACGCAAAAAGATAATGGATACAATGCTCCTATCAAACTCATGGTGATTTTGTAAAGATCCCCATAAGATAATGTAGTGTTTTCCAAAACTATAAAATGAAATGAAAATTTTATTATTTTGTTCTTAAAAAAATAAAACAGGCCGGGCGCTGTGGCTCACGCCTGTAATCCTAGCTCTTGGGAGGCTGAGGCGGGCGGATTGCTCAAGGTCAGGAGTTCAAAACCAGCCTGAGCAAGAGTGAGACCCCGTCTCTACTATAAATAGAAAGAAATTAATTGGCCAACTGATATATATATATAAAAAATTAGCCGGGCATGGTGGCGCATGCCTGTAGTCCCAGCTACTCGGGAGGCTGAGGCAGAAGGATCACTCAAGCCCAGGAGTTTGAGGTTGCTGTGAGCTAGGCTGACGCCACGGCACTCACTCTAGCCTGGACAACAAAGTGAGACTCTGTCTCAAAAAAAAAAAAATAAAAAAAAAATAAAACAAAGTTGGAAGGTCATTACTAAAATGTTAACCAAGGTTTTCCCTCAGTGATGGAACTATTTTGGAAGACTTTTTTTCTTGACAAGGAGTGGGGTCTATAATTTCTAAATTTCTACGATTTGAGCTCAAGTAACTCTTGTGAACAGAAAAAATGTTAAAAATGATATATATTATTGTATCAATTGGTCCCTTATTCTTTGCTTCATTTTATTAATACATTCTAATTCATATTCTTAATCTAACTTTGACAAATCTTAATAACTAAATATTAAAATGCTTGTTAAAAACTGATCATAAAAAACTTCACCAAAGGACAGACCTTTTAAACAGCATGATGCATTTTAATGCTAGAAAATGAGGCCCCTGTGTTGGATATATGGTTACTATACCCATATTTGTTTTTGAAAATTTTACATATGCTTAATTTTTTTTTTTAAGGAGACAGATCCTTGCTCCATCACCCAAGCTGCAGTGCAATGACACAGTAATAACTCACTGTACCCTCAAACTCCTGGGTTCAAATGATCCTCCTATCTCAGCCTCCCAAGTAGCTAGGACTAAAGGTGAGTGCCACCATGCCTAGCTAATTTTTTCTTTTTCTTTTTTTTTTTTTTTAATAGAGGCAAGGTCTTGCTATGGTGCCCAGGCTTGTCTCCAACTCCTGCACTCAAGAGATCCTCCCTCCTTAACCTCCCAAAGTGTGGAGATTACAGGCATGTGCCACCATGCCTGGCCTAAAATATTTTATAATAAAAATTTTCAAGACAAAAATAGAGCTGTCTGGTGTTTCTAGGCCTAATTTTTTTTAACACCCTGAACTAACCCTGCAGGATTGAAGTTATTATATTTCAATATACAATATACCAAAATATTAATAACGGTGGTTAAACTCCACTCAAGACTAAGAAGTTATTCTAATTATTTTAATCTGTATGGTTATGTGTTGGGGTTACTGACATTGTTCCATTTTTCATAATGAATTTGAAGTACTTTTATACTAAGATAGGCTATTATTGTTATTTTAATTCAGTAGTTATAATAAAATCAAGTCCCCTGGACATCAAATTAGAATATCCTAATATCTAGCAAATGATTCAAGTCAACTCTCACCAAAACAAATAACATAAAATGTTTATATACGTAGGGCCATCAAGGAAAAATGCACGATCCACTTCAACAGTTTAATGAAACATTTGTGTTTCAAATAAGAAAAGAATAAAAGAACCTTAAAAGATTGGTGAAGTAAGCTTTATTCTACACAAAGGAAATATGGCAGCCAATGTGAGTGGCTAGGAATAAGACTGTCAGCAGTGATGCATGGCGGTGTATTCTGTGACTGCCCATATCTAACTCCAAATACCACATTCTAAGAAATTCATGCCTTAAAATGTCTTCAATTGTATATAATTATTTAACATTTCCTGTTATAACATTTCACTTATTTAAATTCTGTATTTAGTTCTAAAACTGAACATAAAGAGTTTGCTCAATAGTTTTCAGACACAGACACATTTTTAAGCACTCTGTACCAGGGTAAAGTCTGTTCCTCATTATCAATGACAGACAAATATGTTTTTGTCTCCTGGTTCCAGGGGTAAAGAAGAACACCTGTATTTAAAAACCAGGAAAGGAACTTGCCCTACACAGTGAAACTTTAAGCATTTATTAAAAATGTCAAGCTTCAGGAAGAGGAAAAAGGCTATTGGTATAGGGCCTCAACAGTTCTAAAGGAAACAAATTTAACATGGAAGATAATAAAATTAATGGCATGAAATAAAAGACAATAAATCACATATAATTCTTGTTTTCCAGAGGCAATGGTAATGAAACCACAAGGTCAAATTTCAAGCCTCAAACACTTCAGGTTTTACGTTATATAATCTGTCAAAGCCACTGAATGCACACAATAGGACATGTGTTAAGTGTTCTCCCAGCCTATTCCCTTAATGCTAAAAAAACAAACTCTAAAATAAGATATATGCAGTATGGTTATAAACAACAATACACAGTAAACTGCTCTCTTAAGGTAATTAATTTCTCTTGTGACAACTGAGATCCAAAATGTAAACAAATATTTAGTACCATATCATTTACTTAAAGACACCATCCTGGAAATTTTTCTGATTCTTTAAAAAAAAATTAATATTAATCTGAAAAGAATTATAAGGAAAAGTAAGGAAAAAACAAGCATACACCTATAGATTCCCAAGACACTTTTCCAGAAATGCCTGTGCAATGCATGAATAAACTGGCAGAGAAAAATATTCCTTAATGCATGGGAACAGTCTGCCAGAGAACTCAAAATATTTTGTGTATGAATTACAGATTCTCAATTCTCACAAGATCCCCACTTAGTAGACAGTACTAATTATACATCGTAACAGGGCAAAAAAAGATCCTACCTTGGCACCCTTGAAAAGGGCAGAGGATTTTCTCAAGAATTAATAAGTGGTACTTCTGTCAATTCCTTACGTTTTGATTCTGTGCAATGTTAAAAATAATTGTTCTATATACTGTGAAAACAAGAAGACAAATCCTACATACCTAAATGACCTCTAGAGCAAGACAGATAAACTATCTATAAAATTAAAACTCTCATCATGTAAGATTTTTAAAAGTACTACTTCCATTTACATTACAGATTTGCCAATAAATCAGTACACTGAACTCAGATCCACAATATATGTGCTTTTTTGTTTGATTCTCTAAATAGAGTGTATAGCTTAAATAAAAGATTGTATAGCTTAAATAAAGAACTTAAATTTTATAGGCTCATAAATTTTAGTACTTAACTGTGACGATTTCTTGGAAAAAATTTCAAAAGGTCTCTGGATGTCAACCAATGTTATTTTTCCGTGCTTTGCATATACAGTTAAAAGTTATTACCAAGATCATTAACAGAGAAGAAAACCAGGCAATTCCCACAAATAGAAAAGAAAAACACTATAATACCAAGGGGGGAAAATATTTCACGAAACCTGAAATAAGCACATGTTTAAACACCATATAGTCATTTACCTTCACTGAATTCATTTAGCAACTCTTCCTTGGTCCAATTACATGAGGTTATTAGAAAAAAGCCTTTTACTTTTAACACCCTGGAGAGAGATTTCACATATTGCTTCCTCTTCTCAACTGCATTGTCAGGATTAAGGCTTATGGCATCAAAAGTCCCTTTGTCAATACAAATATGAAATCCAGACAGCTTTGTGGAAAGATTCAAAAAGTCTTCTACCTATATTAAAAATCAACGTCTATGTGAGAACAATTAACACACAGTCTTCACAAAATTTAAGTGACAACCTATAAAAGATTATGGATAAAAGAACTCATTAATTATGATGGCATTTTACATGTAATAAAAATATTTTCAACTTTATAGCTAACTTTTATGAGCTTCGTTCCAAGATCATTAAAACCAAGATTAGTAAGAGAGACTGATAATGTTTCCTGGACATTCCAAATCTCTACAAATTTAAAACAAATCAAAGCCAGGCATACTGCCTAATAATACCAGCACATTATGGAGCTCACAAGCCTGGTTTATGAAAAAAGTTGTTTCTGTTGAAAAGTAAAACATTTGTCATACTCTTCAAAATGACAAAATTTATTTGGAACTCAGGTCACTGGAAATAAGATTTTTTTTCTGAGATGGAATATCACTATGTTGCCTAAGTTAGACGTGAACTCCTATGCTTGAGCAATTCTCCCACCTCAGCTCCTGAGTAGCTGAGACTGTAGGCACATATTACTTCATGTGGCTTCAGAAATACAATTTTTAGTTTGATCATGTCCCATTTATTTATTTTTATTGCTGCTGTGATTGCCTTTGGGGACTTCTTCATAAACTCTTTGCCTAGGCCAATGTCTAGGAGAGTGTTTCCAACATTTTCCTCTAGAATTCTAATAGTTTCATACCTTAGGTTTAAGTCTGTTATCCAGCGTGAGTTGATTTTTGTGAGAAGTGAAAGGTGTGGGTCCTGCTTTAGCCTTCTACAAGTGGCTATCCAGTTTTCCCAGCACCATTTATTGAAAAGGGATCTTTTCCCCAGCATGTTTTTGTCTTGCTTTGTCAAAGTTAGATGGCTATATGAGGATGGTTTATATCAGGATTCTCAGATCTGTTCCACTGGTCAATATTCCTATTTTTGTGCCAATACCAGATTGATTTAATTACTACAGCTTTGTAGTATAGTTTAATATCTGGCATATTAATACCTCCCATTTTGTTTTTGTTGCCTAGAATTGCTTTTGATATTCGGGGTCTTCTTTGGTTCCATACGAAGCGTAAAATTATTTTTTCTATATCTTGAAGAATGCTGGAGGATTTTAATAGGTATTGCATTGAATCTGTAGATCAGTTTGGGTAGTATAAACATTTTAACACAGCCAAACAAACAGTTATGAAAGTAAACAGACAACCTATAGAATGGGAGAATATTTTTGCATCCTACGCATCTGATAAGGGGCTGATATAAATATACTTAGACTCACGAAAATCAGCAAGAAAAATCAAATAACCCTATTAAAAAGTGGGCAGGCCGGGCGCGGTGGCTCACGCCTGTAATCCTAGCTCTCTGGGAGGCCGAGGCGGGCAGATTGCTCGAGTCGGGAGTCGAAACCAGCCTGAGCAAGAGCGAGACCCGTCTCTACTATAAATAAAGAAACTAATTGGCAACTAATATATATAGAAAAAATTAGCCGGGCATTGTGGCACATGCCTGTAGTCCAGCTACTTGGAGGCTGAGACAGAAGGATCACTTGAGCCCAGGAGTTTGAGTTGCTGTGAGCTAGGCTGACCCACGCACTCACTCTAGCCTAGGCAACAAAGCAAGACTCTGTCTCAAAAAAAAAAAAAAAAAAAAGTGGGCAAAGGACTTGAACAGAAACTTTTTAAAGAAGACAGAAGAATGCAACAAACATATGAAAAAATGCTCAACATCTCTAATCATCAAAATGCAAATCAAAACCACAAGGAGATATCACTTAACTCCAGTGAGAATGGCCTTTATCAAAAAGTCCCCAAACAATAAATGCTGGCGTGGATGCAGAGAGAGAGGAATACTCCTACACTGCTGGTGGGACTGCAAACTAGTTCAACCTCTGTGGAAAGCAATATGGAGATACCTTAAAGTGATACAAGTGAATCTACCATTTGATCCAGCAATCCCATTACTGGGCATCTACCCAAAAGATCCAATGACACTCTACAAAAAAGACACCTGCACTCGAATGTTTATAGCAGCACAATTCATAACTGCAAGGCTGTGGAAACAGCCCAAGTGCCCATCAATCTAAGAATGGATTAATAAAATGGTGTATATTAACCATGGAGTAGTATTCAGCTCTAAGAAACAACAGTGATATAGCACATCTTATATTTTCCTGGTTTAGAGCTGGAACCCATACTATTAAGTGAAAGTTTCCCAAGAATGGAAAACAAGCACCACATATACTCACAGCATAATTGGTATAACTGAACAGCACCTAAGTGGTCACATAGTACACAGTAATAGGGTATTGGGCAGGTGGGAGGGGGGCGGGTATATACATATATAATGAGTGAGATGTGCACCATCTGGGGGATGGTCATGATGGAGACTCAGACTTGTGGGGGGAGGGGGGAAAGGGCATTTATTGAAACCTTAAAATCTGTACCCCCATAATATGCTGAAATAAAAAACAAACAAACAAACAAAAGAAATACGATTTTTAATTTATATTCCTAGTTGTGTGACTAAGGTAAACATAGTAAATCAAAAGTTCTTTGGCCTTCACTCACCAGCTTATAAAGCTACTAAAGTACATAATGAATGACATAAAACTTAAAAAATTAAATGACTTTAAACTGTAATTACTTAACTTGGTAAATATGTACTTCAGATTTTTAACGTTATACATTGGCATCTAATTCATTTTGAATAACTTGATACATTATAAGCATTTGAAATAGTGGTCTGCCTCAGTTTTATAAAATACTCACAAATAATTTACCAACCAACTTAATTCTGAAAAGCTACTTTGAAAATATAATTAGGCAATTAGCTCATGATTACTCCCACAACTTAATAAAGTCACTGTAGTGTTTTATCTAAAACTCCTATGACTTAAAAATATGGATATTATGTTTGAAGAAAAATGTGGATATCATGTCCGAAGTATTCATTATACCCGAAGCAAAATAATGACTGCCACGCTGAAGAGCTAACTTTGGAGCTTTCTCATCCTAAATGTCTATATAAAATTACTCATTTATTCAACAAGTATTTGATGGACACCTATTGTGCAGAAACTTTTCAGACACTAGATATAACAGTAAACAAAACAGGAAAGGTCCCTTTATGAGAACATACCTTATATTCTGTAAAGGGAGAGAGAAACAATAAATAAGCTAAACAAATAATTTCAGATAAAGTGCCATGAAGGAAATAAAAATGGAGTAATAAAACATTAAGCGACTTGGAAAAAATATTTTGGAAAAAGTAGTCTAGAAAGCCTTTTCTAAGGTGATATTTGAACAGAGATCTGAATAATGAGAATAAGCCAAACATGCTAAGGTCTGGGCTAGAATATTCTAGGCAGAGGACAGCAGATATAAAGACTCAAGAAGAACAAGCTTGACATGTTTCAGGAATAGAAAGCAAGCCAGTGTGAGAAAAGTATTGGTGATAGAAGGGGAAAGAGGAAAGAATGAAGGACTCTGTAAGGCTGTGTGGGGTTTAGATTGCACTCTGAATGCAATGGGAAAGCCAATGGAGGACTGTGAGCAAGGAAATATGATGAACCAGTTTACATTTTAAAAGATCCCTCTTGGCCCAATGCAGTGACAGGATCCTATAGTCCCAGATACTCAGGTGGCTGAGGCAGGAGGATCACTTGAGTCCAGGAGTTTGAGGTTGCTGTGAGCTAGGCTAATGCCACGGCACTCTACCCAGGACAACAGAGTGAGACTCTATCTCCAAAAAAAACCAAAAAAATATCATTTTGGCCATACTGTAGTAAAGGGACATCAGGGCAAGAGTTGAAATAGGGAGGCAACATAAAAGGCGACTATAGTAGTTTAGACAAGAAATGACAGTGGTTTGGACTTCACAGGGAACAGTGGAAATAACAAGGAATTCCTGATATAATCTGAAGATAAAACTAACAGAACTGGATATAGGATTTAAAAGAAAGAGAAGAATCAAGAAAAACTCCTTGGGTTTTGGGCTAGTATAAGATGGTGAATGGTGGTTAATGGAGATGGGAAAGACTGGAAAAAGCAGGTTTGAGGAGGAAACCAAGAGTTTCATTTTAGGCTAATGAAATTGAAAGACTATTATTAACTTTCCAAGTGGAACTTCAAAATACAGAGTTTATAGGCATACCTCCGAGATATTGTGGGTTTGGTTCCAGACCAACACAATAAAGCAAATATCACAATAAGGCTAGAAACACGAATTTTTTGGCTTCCTAGTACATAAAAAAAGTTATGCTTACACTGTACTCTAGGCTATCAAGTGTGCAATAGCATTATCTCTAAAAATATATATATCATCTTAATTAAAAACTTTATTGCTTAAAAAATGCTAATGATCATCTGAAACATCTGTGAATCACAAACTTTGCACTGGTGGAGGGTCTTGCCTGCATGATGATGGCTGCTGACTGACCAGGGTAGTGGTAACTAAAGGTTGGCATGCCTGCAGCAATTTTGTAAAATAAGACAACAGTGAAGTTTGCCATATCCATTGACTCTTCCTTTCACAAAAGATTTCCCTGGAGCATGTGATGCAGTTTTGTAGAATTTTATCCATAGAACTTCTTTCAAAATTACAGTCAATCCTCTCAAACCCTGCCACTGCTTTATCAGCTTAGTGTATGTACTATTCTAAATCCTTTGTTATCAATTGAACAATGTTCACAGCATCTTCACTAGGAATAGACCCTATCTCAAGAAACCATTTTCTTTGCTCATCCATAAGAAGCAATGACTCACCCATTCAAGTTTTATCATGAGATTGCATCAATTCAATCCCATCTTCAGGGTCCACTTCTAATTCTAGTTCTCTTGCTATTTCTACCACATCTGCAGTTCCTTACTCCACTGAAGTGTGGAACTCCTTCAAGTCATTCAAAAGGGTTACAATCAAGTCCTCCCATGAATAATGAATGTTCTCTCTAGGGCAGTGGTCCCCAACTTTTTTGGCAGTTTCATGGAAGACAATTTTCCACAGGGGGTGGGGGGAGCCAGACAGATCTCAGGTGGTGATGCAAGCCACGGGGAGTGGCTATAAACACAGATGGAGCTTCACTAGCTAGCCACACCCTGTTCACATCCTGCTGTGCAGTGGGAATAAGGAGGATCCCCCCAACCTGAGAGGGGGGTGTGGCAGAGCTCTGCAGCCCCTACCAGTCCACAGCCCAGGGGTTGGGGATCCCAGCTCTCTGGCATCTAGAATGGTGAATCCAAAGGTTTCCAAAAGGTTGGAATTCCAAACAGTTTTCAATTTACTTTGCCCAGATCCAGCAGAGGAAGTACTATCTATGACAATTATATCCTTATGAAATGTATTTCTTAAATAATAAGACTTGAAAGTCAAAATTACTCCTTGATCCATTATGGACTGAAGAACAGATGTTGTGTTAGCAGGCATGAAAACAACATTAATCTCCTTGTACATCTCATCAGAGCTCTTGGGTGAACAGGTGCATTGTAAAAGAGAAATAACATTTTTAAAGGAATTTTTTTTTTGAGACAGAATCTAGTTTTTTCACCCAGGCTGGAATGCAGTGGCACAATCATAGCTCAGTGCAACCTCGAACTCCTGGGCTCAAAAGATCCTCCCTCCTGCCTCAGTCTTCATTTGTGTTATTTTGTTTTGTTTTTTTAACAGTTTAAGTCTCAAAACAATTGGCTTAAAATATTCCATAAACCATGCTGTAAACAGTTGTGCTGTCATCCAGGGTTTGTTATTCCATCTATAGCACACAAGCAGAGTAAATTTAGCATAATTCTTGTAGGCCCTAGGATTTTCAGAATGGTAAATGAGCAATGGCTTCAACTTAGTCACCAGCTGCATTAGCCACTAACAAGAGAGTCAGCCTGTCCTTTGAAACTTTGAAGCCAGGCATTGACTTCTCTCTAGCTATGAAGGTCCTAGATGAAATCTTCTTCCAATATAAGGCTATTTCATCCACATTGAAAAATCTGTTGTTTCGTATCTTCATCAATGATCTTTGCTAGATCTTCTGAATAACTTGTTGTATCTTCTACATCAGCACTTGCTGTTTAACCCTGCACTTTTATGTTATGGAGACAGCATCTTCCCTTAAACCTCATGGAACAATCTATGCTAGCTCCAAACTTTTCTTCTGCAACTTCTTCACCTCTCTCAGCCTTCATAAAATAGAAAAGAATTAGGGCCTTGCTCAGGATTAGGCTTTGGCTTAAGGGAATGTTGTGGCTGGTTTGATCTCCTATCCAGACCGCTAAAACTTTCTCCCTATCAGCAAGGCTGATAAGCCTTCTTATTCACTGTGTTCACTGGAGTAGCACTTTTGATTTCCTCCACTTTTGCTTTGTATTTACAACTTGGCTACATGTTTGGCACAAGAGACCTAGCATTTGGTCTATCTCAAATTTCAACATGCCTTCCTCATTAAGCTTAATCATTTCTAGCTTTTGCTTTAAATTGAGAGATGTATAACTCTTCCTTTCACTTGAACACGTAGAGGCCATTGTAGGATTATTAACTGTCCTAATTTCAATATTGTTACGTCTCATGGAATAAAGAAGCTTGAGGACAGAGGGGGAGAGATGGAGGAAAGGTCAGCTGCTAAAACGGTCAGAACACAAACAATATTTGTAGATGGAAGCAGTTCGTGGCACTCCAAAACAATTACAAGGTAACATCAAAGATTATCACAGATTATCACAGATCACCATAACAGATATAATAATAATGAAAAACTATGAAATATTCGGACAATTGCAAAAAAGTAACATAGAAACACAAAGTGAAACCTTTGATTTGTCAAAAACATGCTATCTGCGAAGTGCAATAAAGCAAGATATGCCTGTATATAATTCTAGAGCTAGAGAAGAGAGAAGAGAGGCCTAGGCTAGAAATATAAATTTAGGAGTTATGATTTGAGAGGACACAAAAATAAAACTAAATGACTTTTGGTGACATTATACCACTCTATGCACTTAATAAAACTTTTTGTTATTATTGTGTTATATTATCTGTGTGTATTTGCAAACATCAGGGCAGTAGTGTATACACATACATAGACAAAAGAAAAAATAATTTCCCCAAATTAACTAAATTAAATTTTTAATAGTTATTTTTAAATATTTCAATTTGTATTATTTATAATCCCTAATTTACATAAGTACAAAAGATGGCTAATATATTTTAGAAACATTCAAATGTTATAATTTCTATTATAAATACTATAATAATATAAATAATAGTTACCTTCAACTTAATGTTAGATAAACCTTCTTTTTCTATAATACTTCCAGAAAGCTGAATTGCAGAGGGAGAATAATCAATTCCAGTAATATTAGAGAAACCAAATTTTGCCTAGAGACAGAGAGATAATGTTCAACTTTAGTTTAAAAATAGTTTAATATAATGTTTTGCCTATAAATTATAACTTCAGAGCTGGGGTAATTTTATTTTTGTTATAGAGCAAATTACATATAACCCAATAATTCACGAAGTTTAAATTTTATTGTAAAACTGAAATAGAAACCAAAAGTTTAAATTTATACAATGTGACAATTCATTTACCTTTATATTTGATTTCTTTTTCAAAAGGAAATTCATTTTCCCAAAGATAATGAAAATATATATATAAGCCCTCAGGCAGAACAATGTATTAATTTCTGATACTGATATTCTCTAATTCTCAATTTGTCATAAATTTTACTTAACCCAATTAAATTATATGAATAAATTAAATGCATGTGTAATAAGTTACTGATTTCAATATTTTCCTTCAGTGTAATTATAATTATGCAACTCTCTACCAACCATGTGATTATTAACTACCTTACATTTGTATACCACTTTTTCATTTTTTAAATATATCACACATTCCATTAGATCTTCACAAAAAACCTATAAGGTAGGCTGGGCAGATGCTAATATCCCCAAGGAGTTAAAGAAAGCTCATTGAACTTAAAAATTTTGCTGTTTCTTAGCCATAAACCCATCTAGGGTGTGTGGAGCCTGTGGCAAAAGTGCCATGTTTCCCGGAAAATAAGACAGGGTCTTATATTTATTTTTCCTTAAGAAGACACCCTAGGGCTTATTTTCAGGGGATGTGTTAGTTTCCCCTCAAAGCCTCAGCTTGCAGCACACACAGGATAGCTGGGACCTGACAGGGGGAGCCAACCTTGTTGGTGGGGCTGCCTGCACCTTTCCGGTCACCTCTGGGATAGTAGCTGTCACGATGGGGCAGATGAGAAGGGCTGCTTGTCTTCTTTACTGCTCTGTGACGAAATGCATGGGTTGTGCAGATACGATGCCTAGCCACGCACATCCCTAGGTCTTATTTTCGGGGTAGGGTTTATATTGCATAAATGCTTAGAAATCCTGCTAGGGCTTATTTTATGGGTAGATCTTATTTTCGGGGAAACACAGTATGGTAGGCTTCTGGGCTTCACCCTTCCCCCTAACTATACTGACCATTTTTATTCTTATTTTTTTCTTCCTCTGTCTGGATAATTTCATATGCTGAACATTTTTAGACCTATGACACTAAAAATAATTTCAAAGGAAATATGAAAAACAAAATAAGTTGCAAAGTTCAGTGTAGCCTGAAATTCCCTTGATGCTCTTCTTCACCATTTACTAAATGGTCACTTCCTTCAAAACTTAACCTACTCCCACACCATCCATTAAGACTTATCCTATGGGTTATCAGAACTTATTAACATTAGTGTCACTAAAGTTGGTATTCAACCCCCCACTGCTAAATTTGACTGGCTTAAAAAAAAGACTTATCCTAGACTCTTCAACCTTAAGTGACTGATTAGTAATCTAAACTCAAGTTTAGACTGTTCCCTGTGATTATTTTTATGTTTAACAAAGAGATTCAATATTCTCTTGTTTGATGCCAACCTCCTACCCTTTGAGCTGTCTCCCTCCTTACTCCTTGAGATATTCATTTTCTCCCCAGTTCCCTCAATTCCTTCTCTGAGACTTAAAACCCAGGATGATTCTATTAACCGATTCTTGCCAGTTTCTTCTTCTCCTATGCCTATTTATTCTTCTAGTACAAATTATAAAAATCACATATAAATGTTTTAGGTTTCTAGAACAATCATTCAAAGCCTCCAACTATCCCCAAAGTTTTTCACACTCAATTTCTGTCACCCAGTGAAAAATAAGCAGACATTCAAGGAAACAATAACCAAAAACCAAGGGGAAAACTGAGTTAAAAACAGACCCCACAGGAGACCCAAATAAAACAATTGTCAGAAACCAATTTTAAAACAACAGAGGGACTGGGCATGGTGGCTCACTCCTGTAATCCTAGCACTTTGGGAGGCTAAGGCAGGAAGACTGCTTGAGGCTAGAGTTTGATACCAGCCTAAGCAACATAGTGAGACACCCCTCTCTACAAAAACCAGAAAAATTAGCCAGGTATGGTGGTGCATACCTGTAGTACCAGTTAAGGAGGCTAGATAGGGCAGGAGCATCGCTTGAGCCCAGGAGTTTGAGTTGCAGTATGCTATGACTACACCACTGCACTCTGCCCAGGGAGACAGAGCAAGACTCTGTCTCAAAAAAAAAAAAAAAAAAAAAAAAAACCTGAAATAAATGACAATAACAACCTGGAGAATTATGGTAGAGAACTGAAAACTGTAAGAACCAAATAACAGAATTGAATAATATAATCATTAAATTAAGAAATGCAAGAGTGGGCTTCATAGATTAGAGACAGCAAAAAAAAATTAGTGAAGAAAATATTCCCATTATACAGAGAATGACAAAAGGATGGAAAATTGTAAATACAAAAAAACATAAAAGACAATACAGCACAGAATATAGGCTCTAACAATCATATAAGATCTAATGTGTGTGTGTATATATCTAACATATATGTACACACGCACAGTCATGTGCTGTTTAACAATGTGGATGTTCTGAGAAATATGTCATTAGGTGATCTCATCTATGAGCAGCAAAGAGTAAGTGTACTTACACAAACCTAACGGTATATACCTAGGATGGATATATGTATAAGCCTATTGCTCCTAGGCTACAAACCTGTACACACATTACTGTACTGAATACTGCAGGTAACTGTAATATAATGGTAAATATATCTAAACATATCTAAACATAGAAAAAATACAGTATTATAATCTTATGGGACCAACATCACATATGCAGTCCATCATTAACTGAAACATCCTTACGTAGCACATGACTATACACACACACACACACACACACAGAGTCAGCCCTCTGTATTCTTGGGGGCTTAGTTCTGGGACCTCACTGATACAGAGGGCCAACTTAATTTGAGTGTATGTGCATTCTGATGGATGTCTTTGCTGTATAATTTTAGATTAGTATTTTTCTTTTCCTGTCTTCTGGTTTCCATTTTTTATCACTTATTCTTAGCTGTAAATTTTATTGCTGGCCTTTTGAAGGTAATCTGTCCCCTTGTATGCCCCATCCCCACTCTCTGTATGCTTTTGAGATTTTTCGGTTTTTGGTTTTCATCAGATATACTATGATGTGCCTTGGTGTAGTTTTGTTTTCTTCTGCCTTGAGGTTATAGTGCTTCTTGAGTCTGTGGCTTGGGGTCCCCTTTGTCAGTACTGGAAAATTCTTAACCATATGCCATTGTCTCTTCTACCATTGTCTCTGCCATTGTCTCTTCTATTCTCATTTCCTCTCCTCTCAGATTTCATATTATGATTTGGTTTATTTGTGTGTGTGTATGGACTATGTGTATTAAAATTAAAAACAGGAAAGAACATAGAAGATATGTTAATAATATGGCACAGAATGTAAGATCTAACGTATATATACACATATATATGTGTGTATATGTATATATATGTATATGCTAAGTGAAAGAAGCCAGACACAAAAGGCCATATATTGTATGAGTTCATTTTTTTAAAATGTCCAGAATACACAAAGGCACAGAGACAGAAAATAGATAGTGGTTGCTCAGGACTAAAAGGAAGGGAGCATGGGCTCGAATGCTAATGGATACATAACTTTGTGAATATACTAAAAAATGCTGATTTGTATACTTTAAAAGGATAAATTTTATGGTACATGAATCATATTGCGATTTAAGAAGAAAAGCTGAAGTGGCCTTATTATTAACATGAAAGTAAAATCCAAGACAAAGACCACCAAAGTTAAAGAGGAACATTACACAATAATAAAAGATTCAATTACCAACATATGTGTATACACATCCCCTAAATCATGTATGCTGCTAACGAGCTTCAAAATACATGTAGCAAAACTGACAGAAATGAAAGGAAAAATAGGCCAGGCATGGTGGCTCATACCTGTCATCCCAGCACTTTGGGAGGCTGAGGCAGGAAAATTGCCAGAGCCCAGGAATTCAAGACCAGCCTGAGCAACATAGCAAGACCCAGTCTCTACAAAAAGGGGTGATAGTGTGTGCTTGTAGTCCCAGCTACTTGGGAGGTTGAGGCAGGAGGATTGCTTGAGCACAAGAGTTTGAAGCTGCAGTGAGCTATGATTGTAGCACCGCACTACAGCCTGGTCAACAGAGCAAGACCCTGTCTCTGAAAAATAATAGAAAAAGTCAACAGAAATAAAAGCTGGAACTTAGAAAAGATAATATTAACAAATCTCTAGCATCACTGTCAAAGAAAAAAAAAAGATACAAATATACTAGTATTAGGAATGAAAGAAAAGATTATATACTAACACACTCCACAGACATTAAAAGCTAGTTAAGAAAATACTGTGCAGAACTTTATGCACATAAATTCAAAATGGACCAATTCCTCAAACACCAACTATGCAAAAACTCACTCAAATGAAACAGATAACCTGAACAGTGCTGTAACTATTAAAGAAACTAAATTCATATTTTAAAACTTCAGATTAAGGAATCTCCAGGTTAAATGGTTTCACTGAAAATTCTACCAAACAAATGAGAAGAAATAACACCAATTCTATACAATCTCCTCAAAAAATAAAAGGTGGTTAAAAATAAAATATAAAAAAAGGGAGGGAACTCTCCCCAAATCATTATGTGAGGCCAGCATGGCCCTGTGACCAAAACTAAATAGAGTTCAAAAAGGGGAAACTACAGACTAATATCCTTCATGAAAATAGATGTAAAAATTCTCAATAAAATAACAACAAACTGAACCCAGCAAAATATAAACAGAATAATACACTATCACCAATTGGGTTTATCCCAGGAATGTAATGTTGGTTTAGTATTTGAAAATAAAGCAATACACTCTAACATATTAACAGTATAAAGAAGAATAGCCTCTTTAAGATGAACTTGAGAAAACTAAGAAAGATCTCATGATAACATCCACTGATGCCAAAAAAAA